TTTTTTTTTTTTTAAGAGTAGGCAAGCGACATGAGAGCCAGAGAGAGAGAGAAAGAGAGAGAGAGCGTGTATATACATGTATACGTGTCCAAAGGACGACAAAGGGGTGTAAATTTTCGATAGGAACCGGCGATCGTTTCGAGATTGTCGCGAGTATGTGTATCGTTTCGACGTTGCGAACGCGACCGAGTTGCCGGATTGTACCTAAGCGCTCTGTATAAATGTAACATGATAATTTATCCATGGAAGTATACCATAGCAAAATAAAAATGATTTCAGTATTTACGCCGACTTGTTACCGATCACTCTTGCGTCCACGACATCGAAATTCGAAAGGTGCGAGATAAACCCTCGACCGGCGGTAGGATAGATCCAAGGGTCCCGTAATGGACATGTGATATCACAGAAACATAAAGCTCGAAAAAAAAAAACACGCGTGACACGGCAATGAAAGAAAGAAAAAAATAAAAACGACCGACAATATAAAAAAGGACCCAACACGCCGGACGAGGGTCGACTTTAATCTCTTTAATTTTCAGAATTCATAGGAGCCGGAGGTAAGTGAAGAGTCGATTAAACGAACGTGCGTGTGTTTTCGCGTGCAATGCCGAAACGCGATCTCTCGATCGGTTGGTCGAGAAATAATTGAAGGAGAAATGAGAAATGAAGAAGGAAGGGAGTTGCTCGTCGGGCGCGACGAAATGTATCGCAAAGTCATCGGCGACGTGAGGTGAGTGGCGGCTTCGTATATGGCAAGTAGTCGAGGCAACGGTATAGGGCGGCCGAAAGTGTCCGCCAGATAATTAGAAATATGTTAATCCAGCGTAGCCGCTAATTGGTTTTTGACTAAATTTTTAATTAAGTCTTAAGCCCGGGCGGCGCGCTGATTTATCGCGGCGAGGCCCCCGGCTAATTATAAAATATCCGTATACGCACGCAGTCCCACGCGCACACACTCGCAACCTGCGTCTCGTATCTACCACAGCCCCTCTGTACGCACCTGTCCCGAATAATCTGTCCATGAGCGTCGACCTTCTTCCATTTCCCTCCGATACGCTTATCAAACCGTCTAATTGGAGTCGATCTCCTTCTTCGCTTGCCTCTTCGCCTGAGATATTCGGTAAAGTTAACGAGCCTGAACCTTCTAACCAATCCCTCGTATCGCGGATTATTATTCAAATTACTTCGCCAAGGAGGAAGAAGAAGATCGGCTTGTCGTCGAGATAAGATCGTGGTCTCGTTCTCTCGCAGTCTGTCGAGAGAGCCAAGAGGAGCCAAAAGTTCGCAAAAATCTGCAAACGTCTCGATGCGATATAGCTGCGAGCGAGAAAGAGAAAGAAACTGAAATTCAACAGTTTGCGACGGAAGTGGTGTTGCCAATGTCGACGCCAATGCGTGGATTCACGTATACTCGCGTCCAGGGTCCACCTTCCCTATCTACTGCAAGAACGGGGTAGAGCCAGCGGAGCCACCTTCTCCGGGCTAAAACGAGAGAAGAAGGGCCGGGGGATCCGTTCCACTGGCACGTCCGATCAAAGAGGTCCGCCGCCTTCTTTGAATCCCCGTCGTCCCCGACTCGTAACTGTCGTCCCCTCATTCGAGACCAGTAGCCTAATTGTTCTCGGCGGTGCTGCCGATGTATGTATGTATATATATATATACGATTTGGTTATTAGAAACAACCAAATTGCTGCAAGTTGTCGCCACTTCCGCAACCCTTTTGCTTCACAACACTCTCCGAGAAACGTACGAGCGTAACACGCGCGTTTCTTCTAATCAAATCTTAATTGGTAGGCGTCGATCGCGATCTGCAAGCGAACCTTGGAAAATCCAAGAGAGACACCGAAGCAGAGTATTCGTCAATGGTGTTGTGACCAGAGGACACAAAATAAAGACGACGCCACGACCAGGTGAACCGACATCTTCCCCTCTTTGCGCGGAACTCCATTCTCGATCGAGGATCATCCCGCTGGCACGGTGCTGAGAAAACGTGTAAAAATACGCAACAGTCGCGTCTACTGTTAGAGATCGTTTGGATAATCCAACTTGAAATGATTGTTTCATCTGAAATATGAACTTGAAAGAACGATTGGAAAGAAAGTATATGGTCCAATTGAAAAAAAAAAAATAATAAAGACGACTTTGAAAATTTTATAACCCCTCGACAATCAACGTTTGTATTAAACAATTAAACGTGTGGTTTAAAAATTCTTTGCAGGTGTGCGAGTTACGCGATTCACCCTGCGATGTGTCCACATTTTGAGAATTTTATTTGCCACTGTATTTCGCTGATATTCGACATGACAAAAGTACCAAGTGACAATGATGAAGCGAGTGATCTTCTCGTCCTACAAGTAAACGAAATACCAATTACAAAGAGAAACAAACGAAATATTCGTCTCGTGTCGACTGCCGACATTCTTCTCAGCTTCGAACGGTGCGTGAGTATTCAGAGAAGTCTGCAGAGTGGCAACGAGGCCCGAGGACGAGGAGGGTGACAGGGGAGAGTCTCGAGGTGAAAAGAAGGCGAGCAAACGCGCAAACAGCGACCCTCTAGAACGACGATTTACCGTTAAAGGGTTTACAAACAGGCGCCAGGTATTTGCTACCTCCGCGGATCGGAAGCTCTTCTCGGCTGAGCTCTCCCTCCTCTCTTTGTTCAACGCTTCGACTTCAGCCCGTCCTCTTGCTCGCTCGCGGTCCGCCGCTCGGCCTCCTCCGTCCCATCGGCTCTCCCTCTATTGCCAAGAGGAGAGCCTCTCCTCTTACACGCGCACCGATCGCCGCTCCCATATAGATGAAATTTATGTACGAGGCCGACCGATCCTACGCATGCGGTCACATTGAGCGCTGACAATTAATTAAAGAATAATTTCTTGTCTTCGCGATACCCGGAGGAGCGTCGCCAGTTGGCGGCCAATTATGCCTCCGGACGAGAACGGAATACCAAACAGGCCTGTCGACGACATCGAGAGAGAGAGAGAGAGAGAGAGAGGAGAGAGTGAGCCCCTTTCGATGTGTCCGCTCCGTGCTACCGGCTCCTCACTTCGCCCTCACTCCTCTCTCGGTCGAATCGTTTCTCTTTCTCTTCGGCCGCCTCTCTTCTCTTCTGTCTGCCGCAGCACACGCTCCTCTTCGCCTAACCGTGTCCCACACACGGCACAATGAGAAACCTGGATTTCGATCGGCCGACGGATTTCGCGCGTCCGTCGCCGGAATTTCAGCTGCCGTGGATCTCAGACGCGGTGACAAGACGATACGCGCACCCGTTGATAGCACGCTGTTAACCTTTAAAGGACCGACGACGTATAGCTTCGAGCACGCTAATCAACCATCATTCGAGGCAAAATACGTTCTCCTTGATAGATAGAAGAAGCTTTTGAAATATTTTGAAGTTTTTTTTTTTTTTTTAGTTACGCTAATTGGAGATGGTGACTCTTAAGCTAGGTGTCCACTGGAGAGTAAAACTGTCTCGAACTACGTTGTCTCTCGCAAATGGACACTGCTTCTGAGAGTTACTGTGCGAGAGCATCGCTCAACTGTCTGAGTCGACGTGTCGCGAGCTGAATGGACACAATATTATAGAATTCGAAATCCTCTCGTGCGAGTAGAATAATGAACAACAAAAAAAGTGTGGTCAAAAAGTGAAATTATTGAACTAGTTTCTTTCAATTATAATTCTATAATTTAAATTTATATATAATATAGTTATAATTTCGTATAATTTAAATTATTATATAATAATTATATAATTTAATATTATTATACTTAATTTATTATATTTAATTATATAATTATTAATTTAAATATATATAAATATAAATATTACATAAATATTATATAATATTTACTTATATTAAATATTATATAATAATTTAAATTATTAAACTCTTCTTTCTATGTTGATTTTTCTTTTTTCTTAAAATATTACGGGCAACTACGAGGGCACATATTTTTTTACACCTCCGTGATAGCAATGTCACTGTTCACACACGTGTCTCTCGAACTAAACTACACCACAGTGAGTAAGACCAGTTTGTGAACTCTCAAATGGACACGATTTGG